AAAAACAACAACAACCAGAACATGTTCACATGAAACACTAACGTGTCCCCTCGTGTCTCAGACAATCAGTGTTTTCACATTTGAGACTTTTGAATTGATGTTTACTTTCTGTTTCATCATCATTAATCTGCTGATTATTTTCTGGTTTAATGGTTATTAGTTTTGTGTATAAAATGTGTGTCACAGTGTCCCAAAGCTCAAGTTAACATTTTTTAAATGTTCTTAGATTCCAAAATCACTTATTAATGCTAAATAACACAACAACGGGTAATGGCACACATACCGAACCTTTAGAGGAATATGAAGATGTGTTTAAGTTAAACTTCTCAGTGATTAATGTCTCAACACGAAGGCCGACACTAACAAAACAATATTTAGTTCATTGATTAATCCGACAGTTATGTTCACAACTAACCAGCTGATCGTTTGTTTTGTCTGACCAACAATCCAAAACTCAAACACATTAATGTGACTCTCTCTGACACTCTGGTGTTAATAATGTTACCAAAACTGTTCAGAAGTCTCAAATGTGAAAATAAGCATTTGAACGTGAGACACAAACTGATGTTTTTTGGGGTTTCAAGGCTCCAATGAAACAAAGTTATCATTCAGCTCCGATGTGTTGAGTGTTCTACAGATAGATTAGATCTTCTGTGTGTTTGTGGTGTCGAGGTGAACTTCTGACCAGATGAAGACTGTAATAAACCTTCTGTCAGAAACACGCAACCTGACATTCCGTTTTCATGTGAGGAAACAACAAATACAGACCAGTGTGCACTCTGTGTAGAGTTAGTGAAGCACGGAGATACTGGTCCACCCGATGTCCTGCTTCTCTGTTCACCTTTCATTTTGTTTCTTTGTTTGTTTGTGTGACGATTCCTGTTTCACAAGCAACACTCGAGGGGATGAAATGTTGAGTCCGCCTTCCTGATGCCTGCTCTGTAATTACTCTTTCTTTTTTTTAATAGCTTCTTAGCTCCTTTAATGAGCTCCTTTTTCTTTGTCTGGTTTTCTATGTTTCTTATTGTCTACAAATCCCATAAAAAGACCAAAAAACTCTACCGTAACTCTTTAAAATATTTTTGTTGGGGGACTACTTTCAGCGGCGGATTAATCCACATTTGGTATTTGTAGCAGCCGGACTTCAGGAGTCAGAATGAACGGTGTGTTTGTGTTCATGGTGACGTCGTGAGGCTCATTGGTGTGTTTAATGGAGTTCTGTTGCACAAGGGAAGAACGTATATTAAGAGGAACATTAATTTATGTTTTTTGGTCTTTTAATTGGATTTGTTGACAATAAGGTGAATATAGAATATCACTTTCACCCTTAAAGGCTTGATCCATGGCCTCATTCAGTGGTGTGACAAACGGGCAAGATGCGGCACAAACTCGGCGGGCTTTGAAAAAAATATGTATCGTCAACTTTACATTTCCTGTTTGTGTATTTATACTGTAAAACAACTGAGATACAGCATGTCCATCAGCGACAATAACGCTCTGATTTCACATTGAGTAGCTCAAACATCATCATTTTGCTAAATTAAGCTGGAAAAAAAAAAGAATTTGGACATAATTTGTGTTTTTTTACAGGTTTAGAGACCAACAATATCCTGAAAATGTATCAGCTCAGAAACAATAATCCGTCATGCAGTTGGTCTGAGTATTTCACCCTCATGTTGATGATTTTCTCTGAATCCACGGACGTTTGTGGACACCAGATTCTACAACGTCTCTAGTTTCTCTCCTCTTTGGGACGAAGGAGTCGTCGTTTCCCTCCGTGTGACATGCGGTCGTTTCCTGTCGTGATGTGGCCTCATTTCCACACCGTGACAACAGACACGTGCTCTGGATCTGCGTGAGCTCCTTCAGGCAGACGTAGGTTAGAACATTCAGTTTACTTCTTTTCTTTAAAAAAAAAAAAATCAGTATTGTATTTATTTAAAGAGGAAAGTGTGTCTGACTGACTGAAAGCTACACTGATGACGGGCTAATGTAGATCTGTGGACACTGTTTACAGATGCCTTGGCTACTTGGCTTCTGTCAATGAAAATGTGAAAAAATAATAAAACTGTATTACAGAACCTGGTTTATGGGTTTGATTCTCCGTACAAATGTCGTATTATAGAATGTCATAGTGTGGTATGCCATAAATACTTCTAAAAAAATGTCATAGCATTTAGAATGCAGTGAAATGTGTCATATAATATAGTACATCATACAAAATATTATTAAAAAGTTATAGTATAATATGCCATAGTATAGTAAGACGAAAAATTTCAAAGAAAAGTAATAAAGGTTCTGGGACCATTTATTGTCATTGTTCAACACGTGGTTGCACAACGATGCAACACGTGTTGTAGCCAACAAGAAAAACAAAACGGTGTTTTCTTTTAGTGCTTTTCAAAAATAATTGCATCCGGAGGACCAGCAGCAAGAACATGTTGATGGCATAGATAGAATGTTGAAACATGTTTTGAAAAAGTATTTTACACAAAAATACTTTAATTCAACATTATGGTATGTCATAGAATGTTGATAAATGTAATTAAAGACATTAAAAAATCTTAGTATAGCATGTCGAAAAAAGTCATATTTAGAGTATATTTTGTAAAAAAATGACGGTACAGTAGCGTGTCAAAGATGTCCTTACAGACATTAAACAGTCAGTACAGCAGGTCACAATATAGTATAAAGTCATAAAAATATAGAATGTTGAAAAAAGTGATTAAAAAGTCTTCGTATAGTTGTGGAAACAGTAAAAAGCAATGTAGTAAATCTAAAGTCATAAAAGTGATGGTTTAGTTTGCAACGTCTAAATACATTAGTATGGTAAATATGTTCCCAAAATAGTTCAGTATGATGTAAAAACTACACAATGTCAACGTGTAGAATGTCAAAGATAATAGTGTTATGGTAAAACATTAGAGTATAGCATGCTATCATTTAAAATAGTCATAGTAAATACTTTGTCATAAAGATTTCAATAAAAAGTAAAATATAGTAATTTCTAGTCCACTACATTTGCTGGATAGCCTGAGTTACTTTACCAATTAACATTACAAAATATAATGAATATACTCATAACTGAGTCTCTGTAGTTCAGAACAATGATGCAAAAAACAAAACAAACAACCACACAAGATTTCACATTTTAATGATTAAGCGCTTCATAAAAACAAAACCACTTGGCCTGCAAGGCATGCATGAAGATATGTACATGTAATCTTTTTAACTTGTTGCGCTCACACTGTCTGATAGCAGCTTTATGTGAGCAGCGAGCAGCTCAAACCTTCATGTGTAAGTGCTGGACATCAACGGCTCGTTTAGTGTCGAAGTAAAATAATACTTCACTCTTTCCAAAGCAGATAATGTTCATAAAATCTTGACACTAATGTTTTTTCGTGCAAAGCTGCTTCTCCACTTTTTAAGTCCTGGAAGCGGTCAAATATGTTTCTCAGTTAATAAGCGCAGCACATTTTAAATATTACGCCTCTGCGTGGTCCGTGAGCTCAATACTGGCCGGAGAACATCATTTCTTTTATGCAGAGACTCTGGAGCGAGCTTACTTTCCTTTACAGTGACTTCAAACCCCAGCGTGTGAAATGATCGGCAACATGACTGAGAATAGAAGACATCCATTCCTCAGGGAAAGAAATAAACAGTTTAGGTTTAGTAAAATACTGAAATAGAGCAAATCTAATTACTTTCACGCTCTTGGGACTCAGTGTATCATTTTGTGTGTAACATTCATGAACATCACTTCTCCTCGACGCTCCAGAGTTTATTAAATATGAAGGGAAAGTTAACAGGTCGTGATGCTGAAGTTGCTTTTTAAGCGGCACTTTTCCGGTCCCGGGTGCACATGCAGAAGACTGACGTCAGAAACAGCCGTGCATTGGTGGGGATGGAGATACAAAAACATCTTTTTTTTTAAAATAAAGACAAAAATGGCAGAATGTGTAAGGCAGAATTGTCCCTCAGTAGCACAAGAGGAGCAGCAGGAAAAACCTTCAGAGGTGGAGACCCTGAGGAGAATTAAAAATGAAATGATCAATATGAGGTTCGTGATTTGGGTGAAGATAACAACTGTATCGTGAACACGACGCGTCACTACAAACCTGTTAGATCACCTGCTGAATGAGCCCTTTTTCTGGATCATGTTTATCATCCAGTTCCTCGTCAGAGTCTGAACAAGAGACACAAACTAATCAGTGTGAAGATTAAAAACGGCAAAACTTAGGTAGCCAACTGTCAAAATGAGTCAAAGTACGTCTAAAAAAGTAAGAAAACGTCAAAGTATGTTTAAAAAAGTCACAGTTTAGTAAGTCGGAAAAAGTCCCCAGAAAGATCATAGTATAGCATGTTGAATGAAATCATTAAAGTCAGAGTATAATATGTTGTAATAAGTCATGACAAAGTCTGAGTGAAGCTTTTCTCAAACAGTCAGTATAGTATGTTAGAAAAAAGTACTAAAAAATAAATAAAGTATGTCGAAAAAAGACAAAATGTTTTTAGTATAGTATGCTAAAAGTCATAAAAAAGTCATATTTTATGTTTAACAGTTACGTTATAGTTGGTTGAAAGCAGTTACATAATATCATAGAATGTCCAAAAATGTAAGAAAATAGTCATAAAAAACAATAGTATAGTCTGTCAAATAAAGGAGCCAACAGTCGGTTATCCTCTCGGTCACGTCATCATTTAGTTTTTATTCATTAAACAAAATGTCTCACATTTTTCATAGCTTTTTGTGGACTGGCAGAAAATCTCAGACACATATCTAAAAAAAACAAAACCTGGACAAATAAAAGTATTTTCGGTGAGCGGGAGGTATTTTGGGGGCTGATGGGAGTTCACAGACCTGCCACAGACTCTGGTGGAGAGTAGAACTGTCCGTCAGATAAAGGACCCGGACACATGAGAGGAGCTCGCTCTGTGGCGTCCATGATGGACTGATATCCTGAAACACACGAGGGAGGAGGAGACATGAACGCAGCAGCAACAGCAGTAATCGACCCTTGGCTAAGCTCCGCCCCCTGCTGCTGCTACTGCCTCCAGCTGTCAGCGATACGTTAACAATGGAGCCCACACTGTCACTAACTGCACTCCCTGAATAAATATGATCTGAATGAAAGCCAGAAGAGTCTGCAATATGTGTTTTAATAATATATCAGGATGTCAAACTGATTCATAAGTGAAATCTTTGAGGTACTAATACTTTACTTTTCTGCTACTTTATAGTTCTTTTCCACTACATTTTAGAGTACATTTTTTAATTGCAGGACTTTTAGATGTAACGAGTGGTGAAGAGTATTTAAAAAAAACACGTATTGGTACTTTTGTTCAAGTAAAGAATATTCTAAATACTATTGATATTAGCAGTAGTAGTAGTAGTACTGCAGAGGTAACAGTAGAAGTGTGACTGTGACTCACTGTTTTCGTCCTCGGCCTCCTGAGGCAGAACCTTGAAGTCGAGCAGCCATGTTTCTATCCAGGCCAACACGAAGGAGATGATGGGCAGCAGGTACCCGAAGGCCCCCTGAGACAGCAGCTACACACACACACATGCACACACACACACACACCATGTTTATTCTCATGAGATTAGAAAAAGGTCAGACAGTATCAAGCTGAAGCTGCGTTTAGTACGTTTGTTTGGGTTTTATCTATATTACTGAGGACATTGCATCATGAGTGTAGTTCTGCCGATGAGCAGCAGGTGGAGCAGCGAGAGACCCGCCAGACATACAGACCTCTGATCAGAAACAATATTCATATCATGTTCCTAAAAAGGAAATACAGAAATGAGTCGTTTTGATTAGAATGGATCGTGCGACTCTTACCTTTGATAAAATGACTTTAACAATCAAGAACGCGCAGCAGACTGCAGTCGAGATCTGTGGAACAGAGGAAACATGCATTACCTTCACGGTTGAATATTCTGGTGTAATGTGTAATATTTATGTGCAATATTACAGTTTTTTTAAATCGGTTGTATTTTTTACAAAACTGTGGAATGTTTAGTCATCCTCATTTGTTTCTGTATTATCTTTCATCATATTTAATCATTTAATCCACTTGTATCTGGTGTTTCATGGTTTAATGTCACTAGTTTTTAAAAAGAGCAATATAAATAAAGTTACTATCATCATTATTATGTCTGAACATTGGCTTTTTAAATGTATTTAGACGTATGAATGAATGAGGATGATAAAGTATATTTTATATCGATCAGTGGCAGATAGAACAACCGATCTAGAACACTTACATTCAGGTAAACAACAACAACAACAACAACAAACTCATCCTCAAACAGAAAAGACTGATTAAAGCTCACAGACAGAATGAGATCTTCCTCTCAGCAGCGCCCTCTGCTGGCACAGATACAGAACTACGACATCACAGTCTTTGAATAAAGTGAACTCACTGCGATGGCCCACCAGTGACGGAGCTTACAGACGGCGTAGGCCAGGATCAGGATGGCAAACCGGAAAACCGCCAGGAGCTGAGGGAGGAAAGGGAGGAGAGGAGGAAGCAAACATTTAGGGAATGAATATAGAAAGAGAGACCAATAACAACACCAAAGAAATGGAGAACAAAGAAAGGAGGAAGAGGACGTATAATAAAAGAGAAAGAACAATAACAACAATGAATCTTTTAAATATGGTCTTCCCCCAAAGTACAAAATATACATGATGCATGTTAGAATCTAAATATAATAAATTTAAAATATCAGTTTGATGTGTTAATGTCTGCATATTGTGTCACACTCTCGTGTCTGTCTCTTTATGCTACATGCGACATTAGGAAAATAAATAAATAAAACAATAAATAGATTTAAATAAATGTGCAGAAAAAGGAAGAACTTACAAAAATGTCGAAGAAGGAGGCGCGGTAGTCGTAGTGCAGGACTTCTTTATCCAGCTGCTTCTGAATGCCACCGTTCACCTGTTAAAACACAAAGTACTGATGAGAACACTCTGAACATATTCACACAGGTTCATATTAATAATTATACTTTTTAATAAAAATGATTTGAAGAGGAAATTCTGCACTAAATCTCAAGAAGTAGATTTCACTGATGAACTGTTTAAGTAGCTCGTGTCTCTTTATGTTGTCGTATTAGTTGGGATTCACACAAGACT